TTCTTTCCAAAGCTCGAAAAATAAAGCTTTTTTGGTTGATGGTCCACTAAAAATATCTGGCATTATTTCCGGCACACCTGCATATTAAAAATGTGAAAGTTGGGAAATATTTTTTAAAACATATTATTATTTTTATTTTATTTATAAAATTTATTTAGTGAGAGGGTTGAGCCTGTTTTCTTGAACAAATTAAATCAAAACAAGGTTTCAAAGTCACCAGACAAGTTCACATTTCGTTGTCAAATTTTAAAAGTCTTTCATGCTCTTTGGACTTGATTTCTGATAATGCTGAATATCCATATTCACAGAATCATGAAGATGCAAAAGGCAAAAGAGTTTTTAATAGCTTTCAAGTTGATTGCAGAAAACAAAATTTTGACAGAAAGCCGAAACTCATCCAAATTTTTCTCAAAGAAAGTTGAACTATAAAATTAATTGTTTCTCAAATCAATAAGCTTTTCTTTTTCTGCTATTCTCAAATTTGGTATCTTAAAAATTACAAATGGGTTAATAAACCATTCTTATTCATAAACTGAAAGCAAAAGAAGAATTGCTTTTAAATGAGGTTTGATATATAGCGATGGTGGTTGTAATTTTGTCTATTCCCCCTCCAACTCAGATTCATTGACATCTGCAGTCAAAATTTCCTTTTGATGTTTCAGATTTCTGCAGTGTTAATTTTTCTTCAAATGACTTTGATACTGATGTAATGATATTCTCAGATGAATCTTGAAGAGTTAAATTTAGAAAGTTCAGCTTTTCAAACAAGTTCAAAAGAAACTAAATTTTAAGCTCTCAAATTTTGTCATGAAAAGAAAATTCAAAAGATGCTTCTTTAAACCTCCAAGAACAAAATCACCTCTGCTTTCAGGTGTACGAGCCATTTCAAAGCTTTTCCCTTTGAAAGCCAATGCACTTTGGTGTGATACGAAAGCGTTTTTGTCATTGGCATCCATTAGCTGAGAGAGAATTTGGGTCTTATGGTCGAATCTAGATGAAATTGGCCATTTGGATGACTTGGTTCCATAAGTGAACATATCTGGAGTTAAAGATTTTGATACAGCAAACCAAAGCTTGAAATATTTTTTCTTCAGGCTTAAATACATTTTTTCTGTTGCCATGCTCTTGAAATCTTGGCATAAAAGACAATCATTCAAGAACTTTTCATCTTTAGCAAATCAAAAGAACAAAGGAGCTGTGTTTTTCCACTGACATCTATCGATTCATCAATCTAAAGTAACACGAGTTCATCGTCGTGCAATTCAAAATGTTAAAGAATGAACATTGATTTGTGTCATGCAACTGGATGTTTTTTAAAGTCTGAAGATAAATCTTCTATTTTGCATGGTAGTGCATCACTGGATAATGGTACTTTCTTGACCTTCACTATCGCTTCCTTTCTCAACATCATTTCGAAACATTTTCATCATTCGGAGAATTTTTCGAAAATGACAACTAAAGCCAAGTTGGTATCAGTGTATGCTTCTTTGTGTTGTGCTATTGTACAACTTTGTAGCTGACAATCAATCCCTTTCCTCGAGAGATAGTTTCCTCAAGATACACTTTTTTTTTTTTTTTTTTTTTTCTGTTTTATTTTATTGCACTGTCAGGTTTTTCAAAATATTTTCTTAGTTTGTTTGACCTCTAGTAGTGAAGTTTCCAAATATCTTCTCAGGTTACTAGACATGAGAGCTTTGTTTGCAAGCTTTTTCTTTTCTTTTCTTTTCTTTTTTTTTTTTTTTTTTTTTTTTTTTTTTTTTTTTTTTTTTTTTCAGACTATACAGAATGGTATTTAAGGATCTTCCATTTCAATTGCAAAGAATTTGAATTCAATGCAGTCTTCTTTATACTTCCATTTGTTTCTTTGTTTATCTTCCATTTGTGAAGCAACAGATTTTATTAAATATTTATCTATTATGGCTAAATGAATAAAACATTTTTTAACTAGTTCACAGCAATGCAATCACATCAAAGAAATTTAAAGGCTTATTTATTTCACTAATCTTTTGATTTTAAGAAAGAGCCGATTTGAATCAATGTCAATTACAAAATTGGGAAAAAATAATATTAATTAAAAATACCAGAAAATTACCTTTAAAAAGATTTTTTTAGAAACCATTTTAGTAATTATAATTACTATTTAAAAGTGACAAAACCCAGGCAGTTTTAATTATTTGTCAAAATCCCCCATGGCGCATTTGACAATCTCTCTTGGTATACTGATGTGTGGTTGACACACAGGTCAAGAAATACTTATTTAGATGATTTGTTAATGTGGTTTATAAATTAAACAAAAAGTGTACAAAATGCTAATAAATAAATAAAAGTAATTTGTAATAAAAAATAATAACAAAAGTAGTAAAAGTAGGAAAAAAAGTAAAGGAATAGTACTTGAATAAAAGTAGTTTATATATATAAGGGACTTAAGTGTTTGTCTTGCCACTAGTTTATTGTTGCCACTTGGAAAAATGAGCATGGAAATTAATGTTTCCACAGTTTTTAATTAATATCTCGGCCGATTAAAGTAATACAAAGATGAGAATGGCATCGATGGATTCGGAGAATTTTTTGGAATCCGAGGATATGTGTCTCGAATTTCAATTCGATGCCATTCCGTAGATATTCGAGAAAAAGGAATTTGGCACCTAACCAAATCCCTCTAATAGGGAAAACCAAAGGAAGTGGAAAATGTAGGGGAAAATTAGTTTTTAATTAATATCTCCGCTAATTAAAGTCCCACGATGACGGGAATGGTTAAAATGGCGTGCCATGGACCTGCGGAAACCAACGGTGTGCTTCGCTAAGCCCAGGAGTCAGCTGTTTCAGAGATATGTTGTTACTTCCCCCCAAATATATACAGTTAAAAGTCTTTAATCCGGACGTCCATAATCCAAAATGATCTATAATCCGGACCTCAAAACTACAAACTTCCTATGCATGCGTAAATGCATAACGCATCTACACATGCGCATAATACGTTTACGCATGCACGTTTAATGTATAACGGACGATATAAGCTAAGCTAAAATTGTCTATTTCAGTTAATGTTGCAGATTGCATTGTTCCTTAATCTTGTAATTGGATCCTGCATATTATTTTTTGCAGACTGTTACAGCAATTTTATATAAGTAAGCTTGAACTTTCGATTATGTCAAAAAGAATTTCCGATTCTGGAGTTGCCAAAGGATCTACAAAGCAAAAGCATGTTTCGATGTCCATCAAACAGAAAGTGGAATTGCTGCAAAAAAATGGATAAAGGCATATCCTTTGTTTCTCTAACCATTCCGAAATCTGTTTATCAATTTCACGCTACTCTGCGGGGGGGGGGCGTTGCGGCACGCAATGAACTGGAAGTTGATCTGTCAGCACTATCCTTATCTTCAGGGCAGATGTTTTTATTTTATTCGGCTTATAATTCCTTACTAAATGTAGTATTTCATCTCGATGTACTCTGTCTTTGATATGATTTAAATCAAATTCCTCGTCATTATAAATATCACGAATACACATCAAATAGCTTTCTGGTTGCAATTTTCTAATTTCGACTATGCATAATGTATGCTTTACGTATGCGCGTGTTGAAACAAATGTTTAATAAAGTAAACATATAAATATTAAGCTTTTTTTTGTAAATTTTGATACCCTTTAGATCATAATTGCTCTTTCATAAATTACGGTTTCATATTTTTAATTTTATAATTTCTGCATGCCATCTTACCAGATTTAAACTGATGATCTATAATCTGAAATCGCCAAAGTCCCGACGAGTCCGGATTAAAGACTTTTGATTGTATATGCGGCTTAAGTGTCCGTTTGTCACCGATAGTTTATTGGTTGCTTGCGGTAATTGAACTAGCCAATGACGCTGACGTTGTCAAAGGCACACGGTTGCCCTTTCAATTGAGAACGTAGACAATTTCCTGTAAAACTCGCCTTTGCTACCATTCCATAAGTCTCAGGGCTAAATGCTAAAGCATGTTGGCATTTTTTTACCTGAGCCTGCATTTGGACATGGTCAACTTTATGTTGCCTGTTCAAGAGTTCGTGAAAAAACGGATGTAAAATTAAAAATAGTTGATGGTCCTCTGCAAGGCAAGCTTAAAAATGATGGAAAGATCTACACAAGAAATGTTGTGTACAAAGAAATCTTTGACATGTGAATTAACATTTTATTATTTAAATCACCTTTATTTATTGATCTAGAGGTGGCTCTTAAGAAATGCACTGCCAGTGGTTTCCTTCATTGCACTCTACTTTAAGCAATTAAGCAAATAGAAGGGGGAATCCCGTGGGGCTGTAAGCAACGGGACGTCCTCGCCGCCTGCCCTGGGTAATTCAGTTTGAATTAGCAGACACCTTTGCATAAATCATTTTAATTACAATTTATAATATCTAGAACAGCGGTCATTTTGTATGACCGCCGGGCTTTCTAGTTATTGTATATTCATAACCCGAAACTAAATACTTAACAGCTAAATAAAAGGCTCACTGTATTCCCGCCATAAAACTACGAAATTCCCCCAGGACAGAATTCCTCCGTTTGAGAACCCCTAACATATACAATGTTATAGATCCGGATAAGGGATGCAATAGGCAAAATGGTGAAATAAGCAACTACAATCCCATGTCATGGAATTCATGTGGTGGCTAATACATGAAAAGACACAAATGTACTCAATAATGTCGAATTAAATTGGCAGTTTTATGCCTCTTGTGTAATACGGAGATAATCTGGTAAAACCAATTTTGAATTTTTGTATTTGTCTTGGATTTATTTTGGACTTAATAAAATAGGCATTCTTTCCATGAAGCTTTATGTATTGTTATGAATGAGATTTTTATGTGTTATTAGTGAGATTTTGCACCAGCATTTATATTTGACAAGTGATGTCCTATTAACAGAAAAATATCAAAAGTGCCAATTAAAATTTATTTTCCTTTAAATATATTTAGGTATCATGTTTTAATAAATTTTATATTTGAAAATATATAATACATACCAGAACAGTCTGTATATTGAAAAATCATCATTAATACAGCAGCAGTTGACATACTAGCATAACTGTCACTGTTTTGCTTTGGATCTTCTCCTGCAAATCAAAATTTTTAATCAAAACTATCATAATATAAAAGGAAAAATATGGAGATATTAATATATTTTTAGTAGTAGGATATAATTCACAAACAAGTATATAATCTTACTAAACGTAAAAGGAAGAAGGTGATTGCAGAGAACATCAATGATGTCTTTATGCAAAGAGCAAGGAAAGAGGGTCATTGTAGATGCTACAAGGTAAGGAAGCGTATCCATGAGTTCATGCTCCAAAAATGGTACTAAACATGCAAGAGTATGAAGTATGGTGTAACCAAGGGCTGAAAAGAAAACACTCAAATATATGAAGTAAAAGAAGTTATATAATAATTTTTACACTTTTTTTGCTATAATAAAGAATTAAAAAAATAGTGACAACACAAATTTCTTTGTTTAAAAGACCTAAATTTACATTAAAAATATACTTAGAATACAATTCAATATTTTTAAAAATTTACCATTCTAAATTTTAAAACAGGGCTTTGAACCAGAACTGAATCGAAAACAAAAAAACCGGAAAAAACCATTATTTTGGTCGGAACGAAAACTGGAACTGAACCAAAAAAAATATCAGTTTATTTTGGTTTAATATATCTTCAGTCATTTTGCTACCACAAACCAATTTGTCAATATTTTCTAATTTAATGCATTTCAATCATAAACGCGGAAACACAATCTTCTATTGAAAGCGATGAAAATGAAGACTATTTAGAGACTTTTTTAAAACGTAAAGAATTGACAATAAAAACACATAGATTCCCTATTTCTACCGAGATTGACATTGAATTCACTTTATATAATTTTGACAATGTATGAAGGGTTGATATAAAACATATTTTAGATTTCTGGGAAGAGAATAAAATTACCTATCAGCACGTATATAAGATTGCAATGGTGGTTTTGGCCATTTTTTGGGACGGAACGAATACCGGAACTGAACCGATATATTTTTTTTTTAGTTGAACCAGAATGAAAAAAATTACAGTTTGAAGACCTAGTTTAAAAGAATGTTTACACTATAAAAAATTTTTAAAAAGAAAATTCATATAAATATTTCCTTTCTCTTCTTATCCAAAGAAATCCCACTGCTGCAAACTTCTAAAACTAAGCTGTAAACTTCAGCTATAAAGATTCATCTAAATAAAATTAAAATTTGAAGAATTTCAGTTTTTAAAGTTCTGGCATTTGTTTCTACATTTCTGTTTAGAATATGAAATGATATAAATAGAAAATTTCAAAATATCTTTTTTAAAATTATATTACTATTTGGATAAAATTAAAAAACAGAAATATACACAGAGTTATCAATCTATACGCTACTATGAAATTTTGTAATAAATATTATATTTTATTCAGAATGCAAATGAGAAGAAATTTTGTAACTAAATATAAAGTATTAGTAAAGCTACTTATAACACTCATAATATAAAATAAAACTGTTTGAAAATATTAATAAGGAGTCTAGACAGAATGACTTTTTCAATTATTACTTTACATCACATTGAACAATGCATTTTTAAAATACTGAATAAATATGAAAGATTTTAAATTTCATTGAGTGGTAATATCTTTATCATCAAAAATATAATTTTACTGCAAACTAAAATCCATGCATTTTAAAAAGACTTTTCCTTAGATTAGTTAATGAGCATAGCTCTTACACTATATGTGAGAACTTTTACATATTTAACATGAGAATGTGTAGGTTTATTAAGTGCAATATTTACATATAATTTATTACCTACATTTGTAAATTTCAAATTTATTGCATATTTTTATAATCTTTACTATAGCTCTGTAGAACATGATAATTATTAAAAAATAATAAAATAAAATGTTTTCAGGAATAAAATAATATATAAAATGTGATAACAAATTTTATAAGCAAATTACACTGTTCAGAGGATTTAAAACCTAGGAAATATAAGATCAATGGCCCAAGTAATTTCAGAAATAAAATGTCACAAAATTATCAAAAATTTAATATTACCTCTTTCTTATTACAATTCAATATCTTACACACAAAATAAAATTAATTTTATATGCTAAAATAATCTTAAAAAATTGCTGTATTTTTACTATGTTAAGTAAAAAATAAATATTGTTACCATGAGCCCCATGTTGGACCAGAGGCACAGCATCAACTAGCTCAACAAGGGCATTATGCAGTGTTTTATAATCTAAGCTAGGAAAAAGAGAAGTGCGGGCAGCATCTTTTTCTGGGGACCGTAGCATATCCAAAGAAATACTCGGAACATCTTTCAGAACACTGACGAATAAGAAAATTTTAAGAGCAAGCACAAAAATTACTGTCAGCAAATTAAGGAAGTTCTAAAATGCTAAAACAACCAGACATACTAAAAAATAATAATAATAAATTTTTTAGACATAAAAATAAATACAGATGCAAACTAATTAAAAAAAAACAATTTTTAACATACAGTAAAATCTTTATTTAATAATAACTAATTTATTAACACCTTCTATTTAATGAAAATACTGAAATCAGAATATAACTGCATTTAACAAGTTATTTTTTTTCTTCATTTTGGACACCTAGGACTAAAGAAAAAAGACAAATAAGCAAACAGCAAATATTTCATCTGTCTCTCTCTTTTTTTTTTTTTTTTTTTTTAAATGACCATTTTAAGACAAATGCACAAAAAAATAAATAAATAATAAATAAAATAATAATCATTCTGAAATTACAACATTCATCCATAAAATTTAACTTCATGTACCTCAATAAAGTTTGAGAAAAATACTTTAAGGTGTTTGCTACGTCATCCCCAGAAGGTAAAGGAACAAGGTTATGCTTGATTCTTGCATTATAGTGCTGTAGATTATGGATTTTAGCTGTAACTACAAAGAAAGAAATGAAAAATATAATAAAGCAATCAAAAGACAGCAAAAGTTAAATTTTTTTCTGATGATATAACAAATAAGAAATGCTTAGAAGTTACAGACACAAGCAACTTTCTTTTTAGTGTTTTTTTTAACTACTTATATGTTTGATAACACGTATTTATTAGAAATATATTACTTTAAAAATAATTTAAAATTTTGTAATAACTTGTTTTTTAAAATATGTATAAGAGCAAATAATGTATTAATCGTGTGAAGAAACTAACCAGGAACTTATTTTTGGTAACTTCAAAACAAAAGCAGAAACAGAAAGCTGCTCAAATATATTACACAGACAAACAATTTGGCTAATCTTTGGAATATGGTAACAGGTAGTTTGGCGACATTTTTGGTAAGGCGATAAAGGTTACTAGCTAGGACTTTAGCAGTGTACATGGATAAAGTCAAGAGTGTGAACAATGCCATTTTTGTGGAATTCTGGGATGTTTTTTTAAGTGAAAATAGGTCGACTTATACATGGATGATACCGTGTATGTACAATGCTTAAAAACGCGGCAAGCAGTGGGCGATTCTGCACTTTCTCCCAATTTCGCACCTAATCTTCGTCATGATTAAGCACTTTTGTTCCATAAAAGTTCTAGCATAAGCATAATTCGACTAGCAAATTGTTGGAAAAAAAAATGTTGAGTTAAAAAAAAAAAAGCCTTTACTTCGTGAAAACAAAATGGCGTTCAGAAAAAAAACTAGCAGGGTTGGTCGTCAAATTTTCGCCAAAAAATCTCCAAATTACCATAATCCAAAGATTAAAATAAACAATTTATATGTAAAATTAACGTAGAAAAAAAAAAAAAAAGTTGACTAGCATAAATTTCAAGCAAAATAATAAAGCTTGGTTTGAAGGACAAAGTCATAGAGGTCCTTTTCTGTCATGAGCAAAAAATTTCTGAAAAAATAATTTTGTTCCTGAAGAAGGAAAGCCATTTCACTCTCAAAATCAAAAGCTTTATTTGAAATTTAGGCTCTAGTGTAGAATTGGGTGACCCTTCGATTAGCAAAAATTTTCTTTTTAAATTTTGGCGATGAAACCTCACTTCTGGTTACCATGATAGTTTTAACTTTGTTTTAGCTTTCTGATTTTATTTAAATGAAAATAGATTCATGTGTATATGGTCAAATTTAAGGCAGTGCAAAATGCCTAGTTTGTGCAATTCTATGATGTTTTTTTAAGTGAAAAAAAAAACTGATGTGTACACGGACACAGAGTTTGTGCAATTCTTTGACTTGCACAAATTTTATTTTTGTTTTGTGTAATGGCCATCCTGAAACTGCACCGAGCTTGGCCTCAAAAAAGAATTGCCAAAAAACAAGGGGCACCCAATTGTAAACTTTTACGAAGTTTACATCAATCAAACTTTTTTTTCTTTTAAATCTCAATCATATATTTTAGATTGGGCATATATCTCTTCTATACAGAGTCTGAAATTTAAAAATATGTACTTCTCTAAGGAGAAAGTTAGTATTACACATGCACTGATAAATAAGCACAAATGCAAACTAAAATAACCAGAATTTTACCACTTTGAAAGAAAATATTAAAAGCACAGTATAGTAATTATTTTGCAATATATTACAAAGCCCACAAAATGTCAAACCAAAAAGGAAGTCTTTTTGAACATAACCATAATAATATTAATGCAACATGAATTTATTACAAATTACATTGAGTTACAAAAATTTATTACAATTATATGTAATCTCAATCTTTTGAAATTTTTAATATTTCATAAATCACTGCACTTATAAAGCATTACAAATTAAATATCACTAAATAAATAAATAGCAAAGTTCTGGAAACATGTTAATCATTATAATTATATTCAGATAGTTATACTGTTAAAATATTCAGTCTTATAATTTCAAAACTTAAATATAAAATAAAATAACTTACAAGCAGCTGCTCTGGTCCCCATGATTAAGTTATCTCAGGAATTTTCTGGTGGAATAAAAAATTCATAATTGTATGCAAAATGAAAAGGAAAATTTCAGTAAGAAAATATTTTCGTTTGAACTATATACATTTTCTTCGCTAAATAAATAAGAAAGAAAAATAACAATTCTTACAGAGCAGCTGCTATATTTTATACAGCAGGAAAACCATACGGAAAACTCAGCCATCTGTCCCCGCATCCATTAACTTCGTACATCCATTATCTCCATCCGCAATGCAGCGCATCTTCTGCATCCTTAGCATCTCCGCTCTCCTCCGCATTATCGTCACTTTTGGTTTCGAAAGAACTGTTTATTATTAGTCTCAGCAGCATATATATATAAAATATTTTTGGATTTTTCAATTTATTATTTTTTTATTAATGACTTATTTTTTGTTATGCGTGTGTAAATCGAAAGAAGAATTTTATTTAGTCTCCAACATTTACTGCAGAGCAATAAAACAGAAACTTCGAATTTTAGTAAACATCAAGTCTCAAATTCTAATATTCATTCAAAAGTATGTTGCAACTAACGGAGATTACTCGACTTTTCGCTTCTGAAAGTATTTATCAAGGTATTTCTTAATTTCGCTAGGAGTCTAGCTATTTATGTAAAAAAAAAAAAAAAAAAAAAAAAAAATCATTTTGGTTCTGGCAACGAGCGAGTTGAAGTGAAACGAATTTACTGTTATTGCTTGAATGTGAATGTTGTTGTGATTGTTTGTATTTTGTAGTGCGCGGGAGGTAAGATAATGCATTTATTATTTGTCTGTAAATTTTTGTGTAAAAATGCAATGCTTATTAAAATTAAAGTTTCTGTTTTATAGGCTTCATTTTAAGTGGAAATCTTTGTATTTTTTATAGCTAATTTTGTGTCCTTCCGCGTACCGAATTTAATGTAATATCTTAGATCTACAAAGTATTTGTGTATTTGCATTTAAGCTGTTTTAAGTGTACAAGAAAACTAAATTAAAATTTTATGATTATTGAAATCAACGTATCTGTTTTACATGGCTTCAATTTATGGGAAAATTATTATGTTTTGCAGGTACTTTTATAAAACGAGTGAACATCTTCTAGAACTACTTCAATGGATCCTGCATTATTAAGAGAGCGTGAAGCCTTTAAAAAACGTGCTCTCTCCAATCCTGTAGTTGAAAATAAGAAAAAAGATGTAGAACAGCCGAAAAAGAAGCCCAAAACCTCATCACAACCCAAGCAGCCAAAAGGTTGTGGGATTAATTTTTCTTGCTTTTTTAAATCTTGAATTGCCAGCTTTGTATGTGCGAAAATATTTTCAGAAGTACCTGTTCCTATTATTTCTGAACTTCTAGCGCAGAGAGTTCCTTTTCAGTTATGTAAATATATAACGTTCAGAGTATGTTTTTGATAGTTTTAAATAGTAACGAGTTTAGCCACGTGTAAAGATTATGTGCGAGCTCATGACAGTTCATACATCACTTTTTCCTTTTTTTACGGGGGGGGGGGGGGGGGGTGTTAAGCTAATAATTTTCTAATCTGTGATGCAATTTTACATTTTATAAAAGATTTTTATTAAAAATGTGTTTGTCAATTTGCATTTTTATACATTGTATATATAGCTAAAAATAGCCAACTCTCTCCCAATAGTAACTCTCCCAATGTGAAAAATTTCACAGAATTTTATCTGCCAAAGTAATCATTCAAGTGTTTTTTTTTTTTTTTTTTTTAATATTTCTCCTGTGTTCTCACATTAAGTAATTGCACTCTTAGTTGCAAAAAATATATAACATTTTTAAGAGAAAGGAATTGCATATTCAAGTGTCAAATTTATCTTGCATGCTAAAGCATTTTTTGGTAAAATCCTAGGAGAGCCTACACCCTTGGCGACAAACTGGGAAAGTGCAGAATCACCCACTGCTTCGCGCATTTCTCAAAATCGCCAACTTGAAAGTAACAAGTAAAAAAATTGCACAAACTCAGTATCCATGTACACATCGACCTATTTTCACTTAAAAAAAATCCCAGAATTGCACAAACTTGCCATTGCACACTCCCTTTGTCCATGCACACATCGGTACGTGCCATATAAGTGGGCTCCGCTAGGATCCTGCCCATTTTTCTTTATTTAGTTTACGAGAACTATTTCTTAAAATTAGCATTTGAGACACTATTTTTTCATATAAACATTCATCATGTAATTGTAAATTTAATCTGAATTTGCTCTTAGCTTTGAATGAAGTAAAAGTAATGAGTTTCCATAAAATTTTAATGCATGCATTAAGGTTTCTTTCAAGTCACATTGTAAACTTTTCTTATATGATTCTTTATAAGTATTTTTAGGGTTTTACTTCTGCAGAAAATCTATTGGCTCTCGTACTTTATTATATAAGTGTAATATAATAGTGTATGTTGCAATAATATTGATTCGCTTAACTATTATCTTCCTTTATATAACCCCAAAATTAATATCTAATTAATCTATTGAAAATTATGTATTAAAAATATATTAAAAAGCATTACTGTCATTAAAATTAATTTATTAAAAAAACTAAATCTGTTAAAAAAACTATTGTACTGTAGGGAGTTGACACAAGGAAGGAGGTAGCATGTTTAATTTATTTAACATTCTAGGCTATATGCAAATAACTTAATAATGTTTGTTCTTCATTGGGGGGGGGGGAAAAGATAAGGAACATAGTCTACAAAGTCCCTATCTGTTAGTTGGATGTTAAAATTCTCGGAGGGTTTTTCTTTTTGATGCAGATTAAAGTTCCTGTGTAAGACAAACGGTAAAATCCTAGTATACGGTGCAGCCTTGGCGCGACTTTGAAAATTATCGCCAATACCAAAAATTATCCAAAGAACGTCTATATATATATATATACTATACACTATATACTATGTGTGTATATACATAGCATATATACTATATACATAGTATATACTATGTTTAACTATATATTTTCTTTGAATGACCCGTTAACTACTTATCGCAATGTCCGGTTTTTACTGCTCATCATAAAGTCGCCAAAAGTAGCCAAATCCTGTGTGCACTGGATACTAGGATTAAACCGACAAACAGTCTTGTTGCCTCTCTTGTCGTAGCAAGCATTCCGAGGAAGTTGCTCTCAAATTAGTTAGCGAAAACTCTGCCTAACAATTGCTTTATCTCTCTACAGAGATAAAATGCTCTTGACAGAGCTAAAAACACAAGAAAAAAGGTTTCTCTTTTTTTTCACTAAAACTAAGTCTCTTTCTGGAGCTGTGTTACTGTTTTTGCTCAAAATTTCCTTCAAGCGTCGGGATGACTTCCTGAATTCTCATTTACCCCCAAAATTTTCCAAGTTTCATTCGATTGGCAAAAACCACCCAGATTGTTTGTTTAACCAACCCAATATATTGTTGACAGGACTGAGAAGATTTCTACAAGAAGTCCTCAGCTCTGACTTGGTACTTAATCTGGAATATTTATATACAGCCAAGAGTAATGGCGGTGCCAGGCAGTTGATGCATGACAGTGCATACAAAGGATTGTCATGTTCCAGTTTTTCTTGGGAGTGAAACAATGTTCTCCATTAGACCACCATGTTAGAAAATAAAAACTTGAAAATGGTACATGATTACAGGTCATGGTCAGCTTCCTCAAGAATTGCTAGGTAGTTGTTCAAAAATAACTTTTCCAACAATTTTGGGGGGAGAGGATTATTAGAAAGCAGCTGTTTACTACAGTACTTTATTTTTGAATGTTTATTCTGATGTCATATTAAAAAAAAGGACTGAAGACTGAAATAAAATACGTATTGAAGTTAGAAAAAGGAAAATTAAATTTCCTTTTATGATTATCAAATATTACCTATATGAAAACATAATAAAATACGTAATGAATTTCATGGTTTTACTATATTATTACAAAATTTCAAGATTCTTGAGGAAAATGATGATGGAGTAGAAAAATTTTGAAAAATTCACGAGGGAGCTATTAGTTAATACATAACTGTAGAGGAGTAAAGCATAAATTTGCATTTTTTTTTTTTTTTTCTACTCTAATGTGCAGTGCGAAACTTTAGATGCCTTCTATGAGTTCTTTGTTAAATTGAACCCTAATTTACAAGTAGCTTGTTCTTTTGTTTAGAACTAGAAGGTACTACCATTGAAAATGCCGACACCATTAATGATTTTAATTCATGAGGATTTTGTGAAAACTACTCAAATGCATTTTGTTCCAATGGAGCATAAATAATGTTAAGAAGGAAACTGGGAGTTTCAGTAAAACTGCAAAAGTTTTTTAGACATTCTAATTTGGCATTGTGTAGCTCATTGTTAAAGTTTGGCATTCATAATTAGATTTAGAAGCATTAAAGAAGTGAATCACTTTAAAATATTTCTGATAAATTATATTGTTTTCAGCTCTTTTTTCTCCCCCTCAAAATGGGAAGAATTAAATGAGACTGATAAAGATACAAGTGTCAGAATGTATACAAAAATGGGTAGCATGCAGTTTGTGAATGGCTCTTGCTATGTGAAACAATTATCCAGGTTTTTGCAAGCATTTTGCATCAAATAATAAACATAATGGTTTTTTAAGACTTCTGAATTTAAAATTTTCAAAAGATCTGACACCAGTGATTGATATATTACAGAAATGATCATATCTAATATTCATCTATATTTTAAACATTTTGTTGGGATTTGATATTTTGTTTTTATAAGATAAAGTGATATTGTTGTAAACATTTCATGACATACCACTGGATGTATGAGAGATCGAAAAGATGGCTCCTTCGTAACACCATATATTGGCATTTTCTAGCACTTTTCTGATTTAAAGACTGATTTTGTCCTATTCAGTTATTGAGTTTGGATGCTTCAATGAGTATTTAACCAAATATGTTCTATTTTAGTTGATGTACTGGTTGGCTGGGAATGTAAATATGTTGTATATGTTTGGTAATTTTCTAGACATTGAAATCGTATACTAAATTTCTGTGTTTGTATCTTTATTGCTGATAAGAAAAATGGGCTAATCTTTGGAATATGGTAACAGCTAGTTTGGCGACATTTTGGTAAGGCGATAAAGGTTACTAGCTAGGACTTTAGCGCAGTGTACATGGATAAAGTCAAGAGTGTGCGCAATGCCATTTTTGTGCAATTCTGGGATGTTTTTTTAAGTGAAAATAGGTCGACATGTACATGAATGATACAATGTATGTGCAATTATTAAAAACGCGGCAAGCAGTGGGCGGTTCTGCGCTTTCTCCCAATTTCGCACCTAATCTTCGTCATGATTAAGCATTTTTGTTCCATAAAAGTTCTAGTATAAGTGTAATTTGGCTAGCAGATTGTTGGAAAAATTGATGAGGAAAAAAAAAAAAATGCCTTTACTTCGTGAAAACAAAATGGGGTTCAAAACAAAACTAGCAGGTTGCTGTAGCAGGGTTGGTCGCCAAATTTTCGCCAAAAAACCGCCAAGTTACCATAATCCAAAGATTAACCGAAAAATGTACGTATCTGATGTATTTGTTATGATTACATCTAGTTTGCCCATTCTTAGCAATTTCTGGATGGATAAGATTTGTGTAATAATAAGTTTGTAATGAAATCATTTGAAGACGTGTTTGTTTAACAGTAATTTTTGATTATCCTCACTTCTTTTAAAAAAGCGACCAACCATTGGTGACTAATTTTTCACCAAGCTAATATGTGAATAGCACAGCCATTTGGAAAATGGCAACACACAAAGAATTTCATAAAAAAGCAATGAATCAATGAAATTCAAAAAGAAACACCTACCTGTAATTAAAACATTTATTTTTTAAAAAAAATCCTTAGGGTTTAACCCTTCTTATTCTCCTTATGTAAACAGATATCTGTTTTTGCTTAAAAAACATCATGAGCTGTTCTTCTCCCCATGAACTCGGCGATTTTTACTTGAAAAGAATCAGACAGTCGCACAACTTTGCACAGATTTTGATCCATAAAATCTTATCATTTATAAGTATCACTTCACAGGATATGAATTTTTCTACTGTTATAGAAAATGCCATATTTCTGAAGAAATGCAATGCATTTTTTCACCATCCAGCAAACTTCACACTCTCATTAAGTTCCTTACAAGACGAATATACTCAATGCTAAGACTATCAAATATGAAGGAGGATTGTCCATGCTTGTCTGCTATGCATTTTCATACCTGGATTACCATGTTATGTATTTTGGTGATTTCATAGGCTACCTATTTTGGCAACATAGTTCGTTGCCTTTTTAATTCTTTTCTGGAGCCTGCAGATAATCAGGAGGGGGGGGAAATGTTACATCTGTGTAATTCTTGCATTGTAACTTTATTTATTCAGAAATAACTGCGAAAGCTTGTCTGTTGGTTTTCTTAATAAGTTTTTCAATAAACCCAGGAAAGTATCTAATGTTTATATACTATAAGTACATAGGATTTTTTTTTTTTTTTTTTTTTTTAAGTTTAGACGTAGAAGATAATTCTTTAGCTGTTTTAAGTAAAAAAAAGAAAGAAAGAAAAAAAAAAGCAGCTGCATTATGAGGATGAAATTAACAGTAGTGATATGGCATCTTTAGGAAGAAATTTTATATTTTTCTTTCAAAATGCATTTATTTCATTTAGCTTGAATTTAATGCTTTTATAACAGTGGAAAATCCCTGTTATCAAATTCATATACTTCTAACATAAGTGTTAAATTCTGTACTGATATATGTAACTATGAATAAATTTAAAGGTAGCATTGTGTAAGGTAATTAAGATAAAATAACACTTTTATTTTTAACATTGTTTATTTTTAATTTCAGATTTTAATTATAAAACGTATGGTGGCAGTTCACAATATAATTTTGGTATTTTGGCTAAAATTGTGAAACATATGAAGGTATGTAGTTTCGTCTGGAGGTATTTTAATTTGTTGTTATATTTCATAATAAAAGTTTTTAAACTAATGAATAATGGAACTGCTCATATTTAGAGTCACTTATTTTTATAGCAAAGGCATCTTAATGGGGATACATATCCTTTAAGCCTTGAAGAAATTCTTGATGAAACAAATCAGTTAGATATTGGAAGTCGTCAGCGTACATGGTTGGTAAATGAGGTTAGTATTGCATTGTGTTTTATTTTTTAAGAAAGCTGTGGATTTTTAAATTTATTGCATCCAATGTATTATTGTTTTTATGTAAGCAAGCCAAAATAAATAATATTTTCAATTAATGCAGTTAAACAGTTTCATTGCATTCATAATAACTAAACAGAGAATTATTAGGGAGTATAAAATTTGAACTCAGTATTTTCTAGTCTCCTTATATAATGGCACAATAATGGTTATTGCCTTTGTTAAGTAATGGAAATTAAATTAGAGATTTTATGCCATGCTGAATATGATGCTAATAAAACTGGTTGTTTTCTAGACTATGCGAAAAACAATATACAGTCAAAAGTCGTTAATTCGGACACCCATAATCCGGACCTCAAAGCTAAAATCTTTCTGCGCATGTGCCGCATTGTCACGTGCTCATAGGCATTTTACGCGTGAGCGCAAGACATTTATGACTGCGCATATGCGCAAGCGCAGAATACGTTTTCGCGTGCGCGTTTAATGTATAACGGACGGTGTAAGCTAAAATTATCTAATTATCTATTTCAATTAATGTTGATGATTGCGTTGTTCCTTAATCTTCGAATTGGATCCGGCTTATTATTTTTTGCAGACTGTAAGAGCAATTTTATAAAAGTAAGCTTGAACTTTCGATTATGTCAAATAGAATTTCCGATGCTGGAGCTCCCAAAGGATCTAGAAAATGAAAGTATTCGATGTCCATCAAACAAAAACGGATTGCTACAAAAAATGGATAAAGGTATTTCCTTTGTTTATCTAACCGTTCCGAAATCTGTTTATCAATTTCACGCTGCTCTGCGCAGGGGGGGGGACGTTGCTGCGCGCAATGAACTGGAAGTTGATCTGTCACCACTATCATTATCTTCAGGGCAGATGTTTTTGTTTTATTCGGCTTATAATTCCTTACTAAATGTAGTGTTAATTTCAATGTACTCCGTCTTTGATATGATTTAAATCAAATTCCTCGTCATTATAAATATCACGAATACAAATCAAATGGTTTTCTGGTTGCAATTTTCTAATTTCGACTATGCGTAAGGTACGCATACGCGCGTTAAAAAAAGTTTTTAATAAAGTAAACAAATAAATATTAAGCTTCTTTTTTTGTAAATTTTGATACCCTTTAGATCATAATTGCTCATTATTTTATAAATTACGGTTTCATATTTTTAATTTTATAATTTCTGCATGCCATCTTACCAGATTTAAACTGATGATCTATAATCCGGAAACATCGATAATCCGGAATCGCCGAAGTCCCGACGAGTCCGGATTAAAGACTTTTGACTGTACTTTATTTCTTATGCAGTGATAATGTTTACCATGATGCAGAATGCCCAGATAGCTTAGGTAATGATATGAGAAACTGGGGAAAATTCACTGTAGTCATTTTAATGTTTAAACATATTTCTTCATATTACGTGTTTAAGATATGTGTCATATTTAAAGTTAGGCAAATTTCAATCTTACATCTGTAGTACTTTTAGAAAAATGCTGAATACATTTTAAGATATATATGTTTTTCCTCTTTGAGTTGTAAAAATATTCTGCATAATAATTCTAGAGATGAAACTGCTAATTTTAATAATATGAGAAAAAATAACCTTGAAATTAAAAGAAATAAGAATAGCTTCTGTCTGTAGTAACTGCTTTGAAACAATTAAGTTCTTGAGTAAAAGAAAATTGCAAAGAGCAAGTCTTAAAGAGACATTTATCTAAGAATGAAAAAGTGATAAATTGTTGTACAATAATTAAATTTAAAAAATAATAAAACATTTTCAGTGGTGCATATGCAGTATAGTATAAGAGTAAAACAAAGTCATTTCTTATTTGGCACATTGATGACATTTGACACAAGATCGTTTTTTATTTAGCAGAATGACAACACTTGATTGATAAAATTATTGATTTTATTAGAATTAATTTCATGCCAATAAAAGTAAATCTTTAAAAGATGACCAAACAAAAGAATTCTTTATTTTGTAAATTAAATTCCCTCAAAACATCCGCATTCAATTAAATCTTGCAGCTGTAACTAATGATATTATGATTGCTTTAGTTTTCCATAACACTAGAATTATGGCAACAGTAATTTTGACCATATCTCCATTTTAATTGGACATACATTTTTTATTTCTTTATTTATAACTTTAATATTTTTTAACTTTTTCTAAAAACTTGTGACTATTACAAGATTTTTTTTTTTTAAAGATATTTTCAGCAATATTATTGTTTATACCTAGAAATAAGGATATCGGTTATTTTGACCGTATCCAGAAAATTATATGTTCCTCATTATTTTTATGACTTTTTTAGCTATTTACGATTTGCTGTATTTTTAGTAAGAGGCCCAGTGACGCAGTGGCTAACTTGTCGCGCAGCAGCACCACATGTCCGGGGTTCGATCCCTGGGCTGGACAAGGTTAACTCAGCCTTTCATCCCTGGAGTGGGTCGCTAAAATGAGTACCAAGTTTGCTTGGGGACTAAACACCGGGGGTCTTACGACAAGCTGACCGCTTGTCAAGGCTAAGATGCACAAGCAACCCACAGTCTAGAAAGCAGATTACAAGGCACTGCCGGCCATGGCTCTCTATGGGCTGTTTGTGCCGCTGAGTTTAGTTTAGTATTTTTGGTAAGGAAGATTGCATATTTCACAGAGGTGAGTGGAGAGGGTAATTGTGGGTAATAAAAATACCTGCTTGGAATTTTTGCGAGCCACATGTCTGCACATTTCCCTTGTGTTAGAAAGGTTATTTTTCAGTAGACATAAAGGTACTTTACTTCATTTGGATAGTTTTGTTGTTCTGACCTGTTTATCATGTCGCATAGAAGCATTGGTAGGAAATAGTTAATGGAGGAAGAGATGCTGAAAGTTTTTGAAAGTCTTTTTGATGATAATTCGGCTTCAGAAACTGAACCTGAAGAATTTCATACTGAAAGTACATCCTGTTTATTCAATGAGGACTGGATTATTTCTGCTGAAACAATTCATCTGATGGAGAATCTGTTCACGAAACAGAAAAGGAAAGTAAAAATTTAGGTAAAAAAATATTATATTTCCTTTTACTAACTATAGCTTTTGGAAGTAAAATCAACGGCAGGAGATGAGCTCGAGAAAGTAGGTGAAAGTCAACAAAACGGAACTTGAGAATGAGAAAGATGTATCCAAAGTAGGGAAATTCAAAGCAATGAAAAACAGCAAATGATGGTTCAGTTTGGAAAATAGGAAATATTTCGATAAGTGTTACAGGGAGACGTCCTCAGCATAATGTCTTACGAGAAATAGCTGGGCCAACTTGACAACAACAACAAAACAGAACTTGAGAATGAGAAAGATGTATCCAAAGTAAGGAAATTCAAAGCAATGAAAAAACAGCAAATGATGGTTCAGTTTGGAAAATAGGAAATATTTCGATAAGTGTTACAGGGAGACGTCCTCAGCATAATGTCTTACGAGAAATAGCTGGGCCAACTTCTTATGCAAAGAGAAAAATAATTGATGGTAACTCAAATAGTGCAAGCAGATTGTTTATCAGCGAAAAAATGTGTCACATTCATCGCTGCACTGAAGAAGAGGCACATAAGAAATTCCAAAATCCAAACTGGAGTTTGCTACTAAATAACACTTTCATTTCACTGTTGTATGTTTGTAGACCTTTGGCTGCAAAAGGTCTTTGAGTTTATGTTCAAAATCTTGGGGTCTGGTATTTTTCACTAAGACAATGGCTAGGGGCAGATTTCTAGAAATTATGAAATATTTGTGCTTTGACAAGAAATTAACTAGATCCTAAAGACTTCAAACTGATCCATTTGCCCTTGTTTAGGTTACTTGGAATGCTTTTATTGAAAATTGCTTGAAATGTTATAAACGGGGTGAAAATGTAACAGTGGATGAACAATTATTTCCCATGAAAACCTGATTCCGATTTATTCAGTATATGCCTATAAAAAACTACAAATTCGGCATTAAATTTTTGCTTGCTACTGATGTGCAGTCAGAATATTTACTGAGCAGATTTCTCTGTATGGAAAAAGACAAAACAAGACCAGCTGGAGAAACAGTAGGTGAACATGTAGCTTGATGGAACCTTACTAAAATACTGGAAGAAACCTGACAATGGACAATTTTTTTTACTTAGCTGAAATTAATAAAAGAAATGAGGAGTTCAAGGATAAGCTGCATTAACACAATAAATAGCTCAAAAATAGAAGTACCTTATCCTTTCAAAAATATGAAGGTTAAACTCTTCGAAAAATATGCATTTCCAAAATTCACAAACTTCCTGTACCGAACCAAAAGAGAATTGATACTTCTGTCACATAAGCATAAAGAATGCCAAATAAATGCATGCAGGAGGCAATAAACTATGAATACATGTGAATATGGTAAAAAAAATATGTTTGTGGAACCTGTACAGGTGAAATTAAAAAATTAGTAATCTGTATGCCCTGCAAAACCGAGTAATGTAAGTGCTGATATATATAACTTTTTAAATATATTTATTTTATATTGAACATTTTTATGAGGCAATTTATTAAATGATAAGAACTTAAAAAATATCTAGAATGATTTTTTTTTCCTCTTTTAGCTGTTTGTTATATTAAATTATCCTTTGATTAATATATTTTACTCACTTTATTTTGCTTTTTGTTGCATTAAATTATCCTTTAAGTGCAAGCATTTACTTTATTTATTTATTAAACAAGCAAAATATATCATTATAAGCATTAACTTTACATAATATTAGCAAAAAAGGGAGCCTTTTCTTCTATTCGGAACAGCAGTCAAAATGACTGCTGATCATAGTTATAGGTATACGGAAGATGCCATAATGCTAGTGTCGAAAGCCTTGAGTTATTTGTTCCTTTAATTTTCTATTCTTTCAGTATCCCCTTTTTATTATCTATTATTTCATTTTCCTTATTAAATGACATATACAGTCAAAAGTCGTTAATCCGGACTCGTCGGGACTTCGGCGATTCTGGATTATAGATCATCAGTTTAAATCTCGTAAGATGGCATGCAGAAATTATAAAATTAAAAATATGAAACCGTAATTTATGAAATAAAGAAAATTATGATCTAAAGGGTATCAAAATTTACAAAAAAAAAAAAAAAAGCTTAATATTTATTTGTTTACTTTATTAAACATTTCTTTCAATGTAAGTTGTTTAAGTTGTTTCATTTTATGTGATAATACTTTCTCTTTAATTCTATAAACAGACATAATTTCTTGTTCAGTTACAAAGTTTCGCTGTTCAAGGCCCGTTAATTGCTGTGCCGAGAATACCGACTAACTTGTCAATCGAAATTTTTTCGTTTTCACTAACCTCTCTGTCACATTCTTCATGTCTTTATCCATTTTTTGAAGCAATTCCACTTTTTGTTTGTTGGACATCGAAACATACTTTCGTTTTGTAGATCCTTTGGAAGTTCTAGCGTCGGAAATTCTATTTGACATAATCGAAAGTTCAAGTTTACTTTTATAAAATTGCTCTTACAGTCTTCAAAAAATAATAAGCGAAGATTAAGGAACAACGCAATCATTAGCATTAACTGAAATAGATAATTAGATAATTTTAGCTTACACCGTCCGTTATACATTAAACGCGCAGGCGAAAACGTATTCTGCACTTGCGCACACGCATATGCACAGTAATCAAGGTCTTACGCGCACGCGTAAAATGCCTGTGCGCATGTGCCAACGCAGCGCATGCGCAGAAAGTTTTCATCTTTGAGGTCCGGATTATAGATCATTCCGGATTATGGGTGTCCGAAATAACGACTTTTGACTGTATTATTATATTTAAATGATATGGCATGGGATATTTTTCCTTCTCGAAAAACTTGTATCTGTCCTTTTGATATTAATAAATCTCCCCTAATTAACCAGCATTAATTTAAAGTTGATTTTTGCTTAGTTTTAGATTTCATATTGGCATATCTCTGTTTCATTTGCATCACTGAAAATGTTTTATTAATTTTTTAATTTAAAAATTGCCAAATAATATATCATTCTCTTTCATTCTTATATAAATGTGTGAGAAATATTACGTGAAAGTTTTTTTAATCATGTCTTCTATTATGAGTCTAAAGAAAACATTCTGTAATGATTCTATTCTATAATTATTTTATAGAAGACTTTCTATAATGATTTTATAGAAATCTTTTGTATTTTTTGATAATTGTATACTAAATGTACAGGTTTTGTTCTTAAATTTTTAATACTTTTATTTTCTGATATATATGGTTTATTACAGGCACTTGCAAATAATCCCAAACTTCAGATTAATGCTGAAGGTAAATATTTATTTAAACCTCCTTATAATATAAAAGATAGAAAGGGTCTTTTAAAATTGCTTGACAAGCATGACCAACGAGGTCTTGGAGGCATAGCTTTAGATGATGTTCAGGAGTCTATACCCAATGTTGAAAAAGCTTTAAAGGTAACATCATTATTTTTTCAATTACTGTGTTTTGTACATATGCTTTGTTTGTAATTTAAGAGATATTTATTTTATTTTTATATTCAGAATTTTAATTTACATAATTTTTTAATATGCAAAAGCTGAAAAATCAGTTTTTGAAGTTTTTTTTTTTTTTTTTTTTTTTTTTTTTTAATTTTTATGTGATTTGAATAATAGTGCACAGTTAATATGAACTTATTTAATGCATATATTTTATTTAATATGATATTTTTAGGTGTATAGTCAGATCTAATTAGCAATAGAAGATCTTTACGTATTGGATTACATTTTTCTTTGGTACTAATTTCTGTTTAATTTCCATATAATACATACTAATGATTAAGTTATTTTTGAGATAATCACTCAAGCTATTAGGTCACATTCCAATTCATTGTGTGAGAACATTATTAACATACCAAAAGGAAAATGAGTTTTTTTTTCATTCAAAATATATCTCTGTTATATTCCTACTTTCTTTAAAAAGCTACCAAATCAATTAGCATACGTAAAGCAGAAGACAAACAAAGGTGAGCAGTTTTCTACAGAAGTAGGTACTCGGGCATTTTTCTCACTGCAGTTCCATTTTTAACTTCAGTTATTGATGCTTAAGTATGTGGAGGAGGGACTGTTTTCGAATTTTTTACCAGACTGTCAGCTGATTTTCAGAAAGAGAGGTAACACACTATTGCTTGAAGAGGAAAACATTCTTTTGAAATAGAGCTGTGGTCACTGAGTATTCCAAGAATGTGCACATAGGTAGTGGAGAGGTGACATGTTATTACTTTGAAGAAAACATTCTTTTAAGATAGAGCCCTGGTTGCTTAGTATTCCATAGTTGTAATTAATTGTCCATATCTTCATAGGAGGTAAAGGTGACCACCTATTTGATACCTCCACAATAAAATGGCCACCACTTCCAGCCTTAGGAGTGACTAGTGTCGAAAAAAGACAAAATAGTGCCCGCTGTTCAGAAAAATAAATGTATTTTTATTGCAATTGGCAGTACTAAACATATATATGCAGGGGGGTATACTGTATATTGTAATTATATATAGCGTTCTTATACGGCTTTTATTTTCACAATTGTTGGTCATAGTCATATACTTCCAACTACAGAAGTGTTTTAAATGCTGAAAATATTTTACAATGTCAATTTTACAATGTTTTAAATGCTGAAAATGTTTACAATGTCAGATTTTAAAAAATGATTAATTTTTGACAAATATGAAATCTAACTTTTAATGGAGTCTCTTGGTTCCTATACTTATATTTATAAAGAGTTTTATACTCATTATGAAAAAATAAAATTACAAGAAGTTTGACTCCTATACGACAAAAGTTGACGGAAATATTTGATTTAAAGGTTCGCAGTTTTCGATGTTATCTTCAACTTACCTTGAATTGGTTAATTAAGTTAGAATAATTCAAGGAAATAAGTTTAAATGAAGTGCAGCAAAAGATGCATATAATTTAATAGGCCATCATGTGGTGCCCACATCTTGTTTTTTTTAATGCTTTCTAGATTTTTATGGATATAAAATTATAAGAAACTAACAAAATTGAATGGAATTAGCTAAAAATTTAATATGCAAAATTTTAATTTGAAATAATGAATAAAACATTAAATTAATATGTTTTATGTCAAAGTCATGCTATAAGTAGTTTAATAACTAGAATTATGCAATGTAAATTTACTTTTAAGTCCTTTTGAAGATGCATCGCTCATCATGTTTCTGAAAATCTTCTAGTTTTTCATATTTCAAAATTGGCAGTTTTGATATAACTATTCCTAGCCCTTCCATGAATATAGAAAATGATATTTTGCTTAGCTTTTTGCTTCCCAAGTTTTCAAGTCTGGTATGTTATGATGTTTTTTCAAGATTTTGTCAAAGACAGTGTTTATTTGTGACTTCACAATGAGACCATATGATATAAAACTTAACTGTCTTTTAATGTACATGTAACTACTGCATGATAATGTTATTTTTCACCTGTCAGCTGTTGTCATTGTTTAATAAATCATAAGCAATTATAATAAGCAAAGATGTACACATTTTACATAAGTATTTGTAGTAAGGGTAAAATTAGCTGTAATTAACATATAAATATATTATCAGGAAAAAAAAAGAATTTTACCTTGTATATTTTTAATTTCATTTAATTTTTGGCACTGTGTTTTCTTTTTAAAACAGGTTTTAGGTGATAATGTTATTCAAATTACTCAGCCAACTAGCAAGAAAAAGATCTTATTTTACAATGACAAATCTATGGAGTTCAAAGTTGATGAAGGTAAGTTTTATAAGCATAATTATTAATCCTTTTTTTGCTTGCATATTTTTAATAGCTTAGTTTCATTTTTTATTTTATGTGTTTGATTTTGAATAAATTTTATACGATTAGATAATTATATCCAGGGATATATATCTTTATTTTAATGATTTTCATAAATTTTAATATGTTTATATATTAAAATAAAAAATCCAGTTTTTATTAATAATAACCACACCTTTGAATGTGATAAATAATGCATAATAATCACATTTACTGGTAAATGTGAATAACTGCCAATGAAATTTGATTGGTCATTTAAGCATAATAGATTGAAAGCCCTTATTCTAATTTAATTTTAATATTGTGTGATATGAAGTGCATGAAATTATGTGTATTAACTTTATTAGCAATGAAACTGGGCCGGTATAAATAAAAGTTTTATAATAATGATTTCTGTAATTTAGAAGATACATTCATTAATTATTGCATCAAAAAAGTTACATTACACAAACACTTCAAAGTGCTAAAAATTCTAAACAAAATTTTTATTTTGGCAAGAAGAACTTTAATAGCAAGTAAAGTCAAAGTGTTTTTGACATTTTATAAGTACAGCGATTTGAGTTACAGTTGCTTTTCCTATTGCAAGATTGAAATCTTTGATCACTTAAGTTAGAATTTTAACAAGCACATTCATTTTCTTTCAGTTATTTCAATGTCTAGAACTTTATTGATTGAGATAAAAGCGTCCTTACAGACAGTAAAATCATTGCCAGTAGGGAGTTGGTTTAAAATTTCATCTTTTGTATCTAGTTTAAGTAAGCTTGTATTTTCCTTAGAAACGGTAAAATATTCTGGCTATCAGCTTTACCCCTGTCTACCTGTGGTATTCAGAGTGCAAACTGTTTCTCCTGTTTTTGCTGTTAGGAATTTTAACATCAAAAGTCATAACATTTTTTCCATTTGCTTATTTGAATTTTTAGCTGAGCATTGAGCTCTTTTGAATATTTTCTGACACTGAGTACAGAAAGTTTTCTCTGTTTTCTTCACAATATTCAATTCTAACATCAAACCTTTTTGCTTTTCTATTTCCATCCTAAGTCTTTTATTTCATAATTATGTTGTTCATATTCTATTTGTCCAACTCTCTTATTTCTGTTTTAGGTTGGACCTGAAGCAATTATTACTTCCAAGTCTTCACTTGAATTACTCAGTTCCACTTCCATACTGTCATCACTCATTGCATCTATATGTTCATTTTTGGTTGAGATTACTGCCTCAAGTTGGACATCATTATTAGACTGATTTCTTAATACAGCAAGATCATCTTCTCTTGAGCTTCCTGAAAAAATATCAGCTAGCAAGTAGGTTCTTAACTATAGCAGCTTCACATGGACTGTAATCTATTTCAAAGTGATGTGCTCTATTTTTCATAAATTGAATAAATCTTTATTCTTTCTTATCGCTTGTGCTGTATTGTTTCAAGCCAAGTGAATAACGTTTTTCCAATATTGTGGTTTGCTCTTTCATCTCAGGCTTGTGATTGACTATGTATTGGCTTATCGTGAACAATTTTGAATTCATTACACATCCCACAAACTTCTTCCAAAATATTAGCAAATTCTTGGCCTTTGTCATGTTGCAAAATGCACAATGTTCCAAATATTTTTAGCACATCTAATAGGTGATAAGCAGTTTCCTCAGCTCCTTTTGCTTTTAGTGCTCTTAATTGAATAAATATCATTATATGGTCTTGATAAACCATTATAAAGCCTCCATTCACTTGTGATTCCGTATGTTAATGAGGTCAATATCACACCTCCAATTTAATTCAGTACTTTTAATTGGTTTAATAAAACCTTTTTTATGGAATGCTTTCTTTGTTTTGACATGGCTCACAAAGATTTTAATATGTTATTACAGTTTCACCCATAATACTCTGTCTTAACCTCTTTCATCATTCTGTTTGCCCTCCATAACTAATTATGATATGAATCTCATGAATTATTTGAAAATTCACCTCCATAAAAGTGTGATAAAATAATTGGATATTTTTTATTTTTAACTGGAATGAGATGTTTTTCATCTCTACCTTTTCTTGCAATATCATAACTTGATAGTAGTTTCTAATTGTCTGGTGATCTGATAGAAGTCTTCTTATTGCTTTCTTTAACTTTTTCAGAGAAAAAAAAAAAGAATTATGCTTTTATTTTGTAAATAACTGATGATTTCCCCCGCCCTTTTTTTTTCAACCTGAATCTATCCAAATGGCCATTAAAGTGTGCTCCATGCATTGGAAATCACCATCCATTGTACTTAAAAATACTATAAATTTTTTGAAAATTTCCATGCATGCCCATACTAGCAGTTGATAATAAAACTAAACTCAGTGGGACAACAGCCCATAGGGGGCCCCATGGCCTTCAGTGCCCTGATATCTGCTTTCTTCACCGTGGGCCCTGGTGTCCCTGAGCATATGCCCTGAACAAGTTGTCAGTTTGTTGCGGGTCCCCTCCCTCATGTTTAGTCCCCAAGCAAACTCGGTACTCATTTTATTAACCTACTCAAGGGATAAAAGGCTGAATCAGCCTTGCCCAGCCCGGGGAATGAACCCTGGACCTGCAGTGCTGCTGCACGACATACTAGCCACTGCACCTCCAGGCCTCAGTTGATAATGAATGTAGCCTCAAATTGACATTATATGTAGAACAATTGAAAATGTAAGCATGCAAAGTAATTGTATCTCGAAGAATGAGGGCACCTTCATCTAAAATAAATGATCAGCTAATATTGTCTAGCTGTTTGTCAGCTGACAAAAACAAACTCGTATGCTTATAATAGCTATCATATGTTTCCACAATAGCGAGATGATGATGCAGAAAAATATACACATGCATATAATAGCAAATCTCAAACTGAGTGCATTAAAATTATTATATTGACCATTCATTGGTGGACATTATTAATAACAACTGGTTCACATGTAAGAAATTTTGATAAAGTGTTAACTGTTTTATTTGATTATTATTGACAATAACTGATTAATCGCATTGACTGTAACATATGTACAAATATGATGTATTATTTTTGTGCTTTGATCGTTTCATGTTACGTAAATACTTCTGCATTTTTACCATAATCAATAGTTTCCTAATCATAAGACATATTTTAGAATTCCAGAAATTGTGGAGGGGTGTAACTGTTGATAGTTTAGATGATGATAAAATAGAAGAATATCTTCAAAAACAAGGAATTACATCTATGCAGGATATTGATGTAAAGAAAGTAGTAAGTTTCATTTTTAAATCTGAATTTTTTTAATGTATGCAATGTTTTTAAATCAGAACTGTTTGTAAAGTTTTTAAATTATTATTATTGTGTTCAACAATCAAGAAGAGGAAGAATAGTTGTTATTTTTGATTCAGCAGTTTTTGTTACAGTGTTTGAATTGTTGAGTCATATATCTTAAAATATGTCGTATATAAAGTTTTAGTTCAATACTGATTAAACAGCTAAGCATTGAATATTCAAATTTGTGTAGAGCTGCTTTTATATAACAAGGCCTCTTAAAATCCAAATACATTTTTAAAATAAAAGTAACTGCAATTATTATTCTAAAGTTACACTAACCCAAAGCACAAATGAGTACTTAGGTTTATACCCTGATTTTTGTATATAGTTAGAAAATATTTCCGAGAAATTAATTCATTTTGATCACCTAGATGAAACATTATAAAGCTGTTTCTTGGCTGTTAAAATTGAAATTCTGTTATGTAACTTGCAAGTATTAAAATGTGAAAATATTTTCATAAATTGAGCCTAAAAATATCACACATTTATCGTAGGAAAAGTGTATGCAGTATTTAATGAGATAATAGAAAGATTTATAAAAATGAAGGATTTAGTAAATATTTCAAAAGAAAAGAATTAATGCAGAGTTGTGAAAATTTCTTCATCTTAATAGAACTTGAAACAGTAGAATCAGCAAAATGAAATTTAACAATAAATTGTCAATATTACAGTTGATATGCAAGGGTAGATTTTGTAGTTAATAATGCATTCGATGTGCAATTATGTTATATGCATTTTCGGTAAAAAAAATCATTACTTATTTATGAATTTTTAAAACTTTTTCCATAAAAATTTGTACATTTCGCAGTGAGTTTTTAGATTATTTGTTGATTTAAAGTGCAGATTGTAATTTAAATTTCTTGTCTAAAGTCTATCTGGGAATTGCACAATAGAATGTATATTTTAGTTAAAAACTTTTAGGAATAGTGCTGCAATGTACATGTTGAATTTTTTCAAAAATATATTGTCTTCTTTAGTTGTCAAATATCAGTTTAAAAGGTTTGATATTGATGATACTTTATTTTGTTTTAATTTTTAATAGATATTAAAATGTGTATACTTTAGTTTAAATAATTGTTTATGATCACAAAAGTTTTTAATAACATGTTAATTTTCATAATTTTTAGACACCTGTGCAGAAGAGAAAGAAACCAACTAACAGAAATAGAAATTTCAAGAAACTTAATCAACATATGAGTGACATTCTACAAGATTATACAGATAAAAATTAGATTAAGGAATTTGTATTAATGTAAATTTGTATTTTTGAGAATAATTTATTTGTTGTTAAGTTATACTCCATATTGATAAACTTTACATCTTCTTTTCTTTATATTATACTGTGAAAAATAAAATATTTATTTTTTATCGTATGCTCAAGTTTGAAACTACATTTTTTTTGTAATTTATGCTTAAATTTATGTGTATACTGTAATTAAATACACTGTTTTAACAATTGATTTTTAGATGCAAAGTGTAGGTGTTTTACAGCGTATTTCTTCTAAAACTAAAATACTTAAAATTTCCATCATTTCTTGAAGTACTTTATTCATGATTATTAGGAAATAATGGCATAACTGTGACAAAATGTATGCATATACACAAAGTGTTCGAAAAGGATGATTACAGACTTCCTTTAATATCCTATTAGTACATTATTTATAGTTATCCCCAAAATAAAGGCACAATCATGATTGCAAAGAATTGTTATAAAACATATACATACAAGGTAACCAAAAAAGTTCTTGCCGTTTCTGATATAACATTGGAAGCGTTGACCCCAACATAAAAATAATCACCAAACCTGGCAATGGCATGGTTAGAATGAGAAGCCAAATATTGACCAAGAGTATAAAGGCTCGTTGCATCGTTACTTCAAACATAACTTGCACAATGAATGATTGAAATGGATGCATCAAAGGCACTCATTCAGAGTTGTTTGCTGCATGATTTTAAAGTGGGCCTGTCAGCAGCAGAATCAAGTCACCAAATTTGCCAGGCCTTTGGGGATGATGCCGTTAGTGAACAAACCGCTAGGTAATTGTTCCAGAAGCTCAGGTCAGGGAATATGTCTCTTAGTAATGCACCACTCAGCGGTCTGCCACAAGCGCTGGATGATGAGGCCCTGAGAGCAGCCATAGAGAGTGAGAGTAGCCAAACATGCTTGCTACACATTTCTCCAGTTATCTGATGAAATGATCAGACTCTATTTGTGCCGCATGGGAAAGGCATACGAGCTGAGCAAGTAAGTACCCCACTCACTCACCAGTGATGAAAAATGGGTCCAGTATGACACACCTAGGCATTGCAGACATTGGTTATCACTACGGAACCATGTGCCTCACACTGCGAGACCTTCTTTCAACCCATGCAAGATCTTGCTCCGTACCTGGTGCATTAGTCACCAAGTTGTGCACTATGAGCTCCTGCTAATTGGCCAAACCATCACCATTCATCAATCTGAATTTTAATCTTGAAGGAAAAAGTTTAACTCATTTTCATAAAAACTGCCATCAAAAGTCTTGAAGCAGGAAAAGGCACGCGATCTAAATATGTCATTTTAAATTCCAGTTGCATGTAGAAGTAAGGGGTAAAGTAGATTTTATGTTACTAGAAAATTTATATTCACTAGAAGCAATCAGTTAGGATCTAAAAACAACAAAAAAAAAAAAAAAAAAAGAAAGAAAGAAACTAAATATTATGAAAAACAGGCCTGTACTCACAGCAGTTAGAACGTGTGCATCAAGCACTGATGCATAAAGAGCCAGCATTGGTCAATAGTAAGGGTGTACTTCTCCTTCGTGACAATGAGAGGCCGCATTTAGCTCGGGAGGTCAGAGACACCATCCAGCGATTGGGCTGGGAGACACTACCTCATCCACCATAATCCCCAGACCTCGTACCAACAGACTAACCTTTTTCATTCCCTGGACAACCATCTTTGTATGAAATCCTTCAACAACCAGCCAGACCTCGAATAGGCCCTCACGAACTTCTTTGCATCCAAGACTCCTGAGTTTTACCGTGATGGCATCATACAACTAGGCACTGTTTGGCAAAAGGAACTGGATGCCGATGATGATTATTTTGAGGATTAGCGGTGATTATTATTTGTTTTATGACTTTTTTTATCGTACTGTCTAAAATGACTAGAACCTTTTTGGTTACCTTGTACAATGTGTTAAAAAAATAGTAGACTTTATTTCATTAAATATAGGTCCTATATGTATGAAGTATGGCCATCCCTGATATTCATAACAGTAGTAGCCTCATATTAGGATCTAGAAAATTTCAAGAGTCACAACTAGATTTATTCTAAGAATGGCAGTTTCGTATTGTTTTAAAAATAATGAATAAATTTATATGAAAAGAAATACTTGAAGTACGCTAATGTTAATTCTGTATCATTTATATTATTAATATGGTTAAATGCAAATACAAGTTTGTATTTAATTTGAAAATATTAGTTTTACTGGCATCGGTAGAAATATTTACGTAGGAAAGAACAGAACTCTTGAAATTTCAGTGATTTCTGAATTGCTAAAATCACCTCATAACAGCCCTGAATGCCACATTCTTTCAGTAGGGCACCCAATGAAATCTGCCTGTATTTTCAAATAATTGGAGCTATGTTTTCTCAAAACTAACTCTCAGTTCCTCTCAATAATTCTAGGTGATAACATACTAAAAATAGGTTTGGAGTTCTTCTAAAAACCTATGGCATTGTGTGTAATTGCTGAAATGTGAACATGACTCCATTTGTCTACAACTTGTACTATTCAGTCATGGTTGCTAAATTTTACACTTAATTAAAATTTGAAATGTTATGCAAATATATTTTTCAAAGTATGTTAAGAAAATAAATCTGAAGATTCAATAGTTTAATTATGTGCTTCATTTAAAAATTACTTTGACATCTTTTTAATTATTGTAGGTGTAGTTTTGAAAAATGTGTCATTAAATTTGTTTTTATTAAAGACAAATTCCAAATCTGTACTATTCTAAATGTTTATTATTAAATGAAAATTTTTTTCATTTCCTTTTTTCCCCTTTATTATTTTTTGAAGGATTGGAGAGGTATAATATTAAAAAAATTCTAAAATCTTACAGGTTTTGAATTCATATTCAAAAGAATTAAATGGAGAACCTATCTTTAGTTTCTACCATTGCCAGTTAAGAACTATAAATATTTGTAATACTGTTCAGCAAGATTTGAGATAACGAAATTTACTTATTAGTTATTGACTATTGTACCTCCAATGAAGGCAGTAAAAATGAAATTTAATGAATTGAATGGCAGAATAGATGGAAGGATCGGCCAAGCAAAGAATAATATTGCCAAAAATTGTTACATGTAATGTATTTTAGTTAGATATTTGAATCGAGGTTTTTCAAATGACAGATATTTTTTAATATTATCAGCAACTTAATATAAAATATTGTACATTTCTATGTTACTGGTCAAATACTTATGGTATTAGTATTATTCTGGAATCCCTTCCGTACGTAAAAACAAGGCACTAATAATGATTATAAGAATTTTTTTGACTGAATAAAGAGAAAGATGGCTAAAATAAGTAAATATCATGAATTTTATGCATTAGTTGAAGGATTCTGCTATTTGTACATGATATTTTTTGCAATATTTCCATTTTCCCTCTAATGTAATTTTCATAATTTATGCCATATCTTTTGTTAGAGGCCTGTTTGACTTTGGACCACCACATTCAAAGGCATTGCCACAAATCTTCCAATCTTTTCATTTGCATACCAAAATTCCACTTCATAATAATCAGGCAGAGGATCATAGTACAGTCTTCTGTTAGGATGTCACCACTTTCATAAAAAACATGTTAGATGTGTAAGGTAATTGAAGGCCAGAAATATTAACAGATGAATGAAGTGTGATACTTCCTTTATACCTATAAAAGATACATCATACTTATAGAAGTGTATCTAGATAATGTTTTCATGGAGCTTGCGTGCATACATAATTCTATAAATTTTAAATAACAAGGGATGTTATACTCAACAAATGATCATTGATCATTAAAATGATAAATTTTTGTTTTTAGTCATTCTCTAAATCTGTTGCTAATAGTATTGGAAATCAGTCATTTTTAAGCATTGCAAAAGATGTAATTCAGAGAATTCCTTCCCAAATAACTCAGCAAAATTTTATACTTACAGGTATGGAATTTTTTATATTAAATTGATTAAGTGCTTTAATTCATTAAAGCACTTATCACATCAGCTGTTTAACCATTATCATAGCCGTGGCAACTTTCAAATAATTGAGTTTCTGTACAAAAGAACACCGAGGAAAACAAGTATTAAAAACATGACAAAGTAAGAACTGGAACTATTTAAATTTAGCAAAATGACAAGAAGATTTCATGTCGTTTAAGCAAATAGGGGAAAAAAAGTTTTTAATAAACTATGATGTTGAAACTAACTTTTTACATGTTATTAAAATATCAAGGGAAGGGAAAATATTCAGTAATCCAAAGAAAACAATAGTGGAATTGAGTTATTCCTAAATAACTAAGATATTTGTAAAAATTATCATTTCCCTTCCTCCCATCCAAAAATACATTTATATGTTTAAAGATACCAAATGTAAAACTAGAAGTTAAAGGGCTTTTTTTTTTTTTTTTTTTTTTTTTTTTTTTTTAATAATTAACAATTAAGTCTCAAAACATTATTTATAAATAACTGAGTATATTTCACACTTAGCTAATCATATAGGTAGATAGGAAAAATGAATTGTATAACTAATTAGATCTTAAAACATTATATATAAATATCTGAATAAATATGATTCTTATCTGAACAGATGCATTAAAAATGAATTGTAAAGTATAACCATCTTTTTAATGCGCAAAATCTTGCAAGAAGTTAATATAGATTTAATCTTTCATGTGGAAATGCAAAAGAATTTTAAAATGCAAGGCCAGTTCACAATGCATAAAATATGTAAACAGAATAATAAAATTAATTGTGATAATATGAACATAAAAATAAAAAAATTAAGAGCACATTTCAATGAAACCAATGAATTTCAATGAATGAATTCAATTTGAATGAATGTCTTGCCCTATAGTTAAAATCGACAGAAATTAGAAAATCTTTGAACTAAAAAGTTTATTCACTGGGAAAAAAAATCATTTTTGACTGTATTCTTTCGCTATACCAGAATATAGGAAGAATATGTTGTAAAACGAACAAATGTTTTGCTGCAGTTCTTGATATTTCTGCTCTACTTTGGATGGCCACAACTGGTAGCCAAACACAGCTGAAGGAAATATTGCTTTTTCAAATTGTTGGAGGGCATACAAGTTTGATAATTTAAGAGCTACTGGCTGTGAATCAGGC